AAAATCAGTTCTAGCAAAGGCAGTGGTAAAATATTTCTTCCTGCTTAGTCCTACATACAACAGCCAAATAGGAAGTATTTTCAAGAGTTTGTTTTTTACATTATTTTCCTACTGAGAGATTTGAAGCAGAACATTCCAATCTTTTTTTCTGTATAGTACCAGGTCATCATAATTCTTACTGAGTTCGAGTCTTTCCTTTGTAATACCTTAGATCAATTTGGTCCCCTTTTATATTGTTTGATATATTGCTGCCATTCTGGCATACTTGTTGGAAAGTAAGCTTTGTTGAAGGCAATAGGATTTATCTGCAAACTGAAGCCCTTCTGTAGATGTGGTGACCTGTCTGCCCTACTATTTCAGGTGTGACATTAAGCAATGGAATAAGAAGTCTGACTGGCTGGTGCTTCTTGTTCTTCGTGCTATGGAATCCAAAGGGCATCTTTCCATCTCCTTTAACAGAAATATATTAACTCTTCTTTTGGATACAAGGAAAAAATTCAAGGACAGTTGCAAATTTAATTGGTGCTGCTAGCGCTTAGCCACCTACCACTGACAGCAACAGATTTATGCCTTCAAGTGCAGAGCTATCATTAATCAATTTAGTGCATCTACAAAATTCTTGTAATCCCGGCTGAGTTTTGATACTGTAGGTTATCTGGGGCTACTCCACATCAGGATTTTATACTAGTATGGTGATATCTGGCTCACTCCTTAAGCATCACATACACTGAAACTGACAATCTGTTCTGGGACCTTTTTCTTTCTGTAGATTCTGGTTTCCCACCAAATTATATTTATGATTAGTTTTGATGCACTAGAGTTCTGTGTATTCCAGTAGATTGACCAAGCTGTAGAAGCTGATTTGGGGTGCTGGTCTCCTATATTCTCCTTTGACCTTCAACATGGGGCAAGAAAATAGTAGGAAGGAAAAGTATAGTTGTTTCCTCCTGTGGCTATTCTTCATTCATTCATACATAAATAGAACAACAGCTCCAGGGGTGGTTGTGGTGCTAGTAGTATAAAAAAAAAAAAGGCAATTTGGCAGTCATGTCAAAACAATTGAGGCCCTACCATTTTTCACATACTTCAACTTCACATGCACATACAAAAGAGGTGTTGTTTTGCTTCCACTGCCATGGCAACCATCTTATCATTTTTGACTTTCCTGCTGATGTCAGTCATACATATATTTATTATGATTTATTTATTTAAAGATTTATATGGTCATCCAACTTGTAAAAATGCAACTCTGGGTGGCCTACAGAAATAAGAACAAAATTATAATATTCCCAGTAACCACACATAATCCTTATTACCCCTTCCCATCTCTAAGACTTATATAGGAATGTGGAGTTGAAACTAAAATTATGGAACTGGGGGGAGATTGATCTGTTCACACAAAACAACTGGTATGCCTACTCAACTGCTGAACTATGCAGACAGTTACTGGTCTATTATTTATTTTTTATTTTTTTTTGAAGGAGCCTGAAATAGCAAGAGAACATTTTTTCATAGACATCATGCTCCAAGTGGACTGTAGTAATACATGCTTATACTAATGCACACTGCAGGGACCTGCAGGACGAAGGGAAGGCAGAGATCAACATGTGTGTTATGATATAATGTAAATGACATGACAGACATACTTATGTCAAACATCATGGTGCAGTTGCATTATCACATAAATTGTTGAATGGTATGAACATACACATATCCTTGCTTTGATACTCTCATAGCTTGTGATGGACACCCCTGAAAGCATGTCACTTTGCTAATGTGAACTTCTCACACAATTGCAACAATGTGCATTGCCATAAGATTCTTATATTAAGTAAGAGACATTGTGCTGCATGTGGTGGTGCCTCAAATGAAAGAGCTCCAGAGTAAATCATTCTGAAGAAAAACAACTGCTTGCTTATATATATATATATACACACACACACACACACACACACACACACACACACACACACACATACACTGTATATATATAAAAGTACAT